AAAGACCATGCAATTTCATTATTCAATATTAAAATCTGTGTATAGGGGCTGGAGAGAAGGCTAAGCACTTAAGAGCATGTGCTGCTCTTCCAGAGGACCCAGATTCAGTTCCCAGCACCCACATCAATCAAGTACCTCCCAACCACTCCAGTTCCAGGGTGATCCAACTCCTCTGCCTCAGAGGGCACCTGCACACACATATAATTACACACACACACACACACACTGAATTTTAAATCAAGGGACAGCCTGGTCTACAAAGTAAGTTCCAGGCCAGCTGGGGCTACAAGGAGACCCTGTTTCAAGAAACAAAACAACACAATAACAACCAAAAAAAACTCCCAAAACCAAAACCAAACACAGGGTTTATGGGGAAAAGGAGTTAGTGTCACAACATTAAAAACCATGTGAATGTGGAGGTGTATGCCTGCAACCTCACATTTGGGAGGCGGAAGGAGGACGAAGATTTTAAGGCTATATCCTCACCTCAGTTGGAAGCCAGCCTGGGCTACAGAAGACCCTGCCTCAAAACCAAAATAATCCATCATCCCCCAGATTATGGGGATATGAACATAAAACATTTAGGTTCATTAAGTGGCTGAGTAGATTCTAATGCACTAATACTGTACAATATAGTCCCATGAAACTTTTTAAAAGACGAGGGATGGGGGCTAGAGAGATGGCTCAGTGGTTATGAGCACCAATGGTCAAATCCCAGCACTCACATCAGGTGGCTCACAAATGCCTGTAATTCCAGTTCTAGGGAATCCAGTGGCCGCATCCTGACTCTTCAGTACCCACACAGACACATGCATACACGCATGAGTAAAATAAAATAATTACAAAATAAATGCAATTAAAAAAATTTTTTTTTTTGGTCTTTTTGAGACAGGGTCTCTCTGTAGCCCCAGCTATCCTGGAACTCACTTTGTAGACCAGGCTGGCCTTGAACTCAGAGATCCGCCAGTCTCTGCCTCCTAAGTGCTGGGATTATAGGCGTGTGCCACCACACCTGGCGATTTCAGGTCATTTTGCGTGCAGTAGATGCCAGTGGCTAATCTGGACAGAATAGGTTCTGTCCCTTCCAGGTCACAAGCTCCATAGGGTCCACATGAACTGATGGTCTCTTTGCATGAGGCGTGGAACTGCTTGCAGTGCATGAATGATGAGCAATGCCTTTAACCTTGTTTCCTTGCTTTTAAAGAGATCTGAGCCTGAATAAAGTCTTGGTGCCGCACATACTTTAAGCAACTTAGCTCTAAGTTTGAGAAACAGCTCAAGATAGGAGCATGGTTCAGAAGGAAGCGAAGGGAGCCTGAGTGTGCTGGCCTAGTCCCTGGGAAGTTCTTTGGCCTTGTGCTCTGTGAACTACAGCAGGAACATGAACTCCATTTTCGAAGCTCCATAAACCATTCTCCCAGGCCTCCCTTTTCTAGGTTTCATGGCTCTCCGTGGAACTGAGAGCCTGTGTAACTGCCTGACACAAATGAACAGAATGAACAGAGCAGGGAATGCTGGGAGGACATTAAGATGTTCCCACGGGTGGAGCTGAGAGGTAAAGAGCGTGGCTGTGCTTTTAGCTCACTGTATCCCTCTGGAGGCCTCTGCATGGAGCTCCTGCTGCCAGGCCATCTGGAGGTAGCTTCACTGGGGCTCTCTATGTGAGAATTAAAACAGATTTCACTCTTTTGGTTTGTTTGGATTTTTTTTTTTTTTTTTTTTTTTTTTTTTTTTTTTTGTCTTTTTGAAGCAGGGTCTCCCTGTAGCCCGAGCTGTCCTGGAACTACAACAGGCTGGCCTTGAACTCACAGAGATCCGCCTGCCTCTGCCTCCCAAGTGCTGGGACTACAGGCGTGTGCCACCACGCCTGGCCTGTTTGGGGGTTTTTGTTTTTTTAAGTTTAAGCAGATATGCCTACATGCTTAACCAGTTTTATGTGTGACCTTTGAACATCAGCCTATGTCTTCCCTAGCTAAGGGTTTTGAGAACACTTGATAAGATAAAATATGTGAGACCAGGTGCCTGTGAAGTGGGTACTCTAGCGGTACTACCAGTAGGGGCTTCATAGGGGCCTTCCCCTTACCAAGTGCTTTGCATAAATTATCTTGTTAACCCTCAGAGCAAAGAGTCCAGGTTTGTATTCTCTGGGCAGCCTTTTGTGGTGAGGGGACTGGGACGTACAGAGAAGTGACTTGTTTACATTTACACAGCTGGTTAGGTTACTCTCTGAGACCCAGACCCACCCTGTATCAAAGCCTGTCCATCCAGCTACTCTGGACTTCTGTCTGCCCTCTTCAGCTTTCCATGGGGGAATGTAGATGGCCAGTGAGGGCTGCTGAAAATAGCAGGTTTCTGTTTGAACTTACAGGAATTGTGAACAGCTCAACAAGTTGTTAGATTTCCCCTAATTGTTTTCTTGAAGCTCTTTATAATCTTGTGTTATGTGTCACATGTATGAGCACTAGATTTATGTTTTTTAAAAAATTTGTGCTGAGTTTAACAACATTTCTTTGTTAAAGCATGTACAAAGAATTGGACTTAGTTGGCACGAGTTTTAATACCTGTGGCCGTCTCCCCACTTCTCCCTCTTACAGCAGGTTGAGTAAGGACAGAACTGGATGACAAGGTGCATAAGTAGTCACACTGTCAGAGTTTGGCTGGTTGAAAGTTTTTCCTAACAGGTTGGACTGACTGAATGCTTACAGTGCTCCATTTGAAGTTACACTCTGGGTATTCCATGTGAGCACATTAGACATCTCCAGGGACACTGCTTGTCTCATGGGTAACTCGTGATACCTCAAATATCTCCCCTGGGGCCTCCCCTACCTTTAGAGATTTGGAAAGGATTTGCTAGTAGAGGTTTGGGGGAGTGGATGAAGATGGTGCTTTCTGTTTTGGTGGATTTTAAAGGAATTCTTATTTATTTATGTGTGTGCACATGCTCCATAGTGTATACGTGGAGGTCAGAGGACATCTTGCAAGAATCTGTTCTCTTTCCACCATGTGAGTTCTGAGATCAAACTCAGGTCATCTGGCTTGGTGGCAAGCACCTTACCCACTGAACCATCTCACCAATTCTGGTGGCTGTTTTTTTGTGGTGGTGGTGGTTGGTTTGGTGTCTGTATTGGTTACTTTTCTGTTGCTGTGATGAAACACTTTGACCAAAGTGGCTTATGGGAGAAAGTTTGTTGTGGGTTATAGTTCCAGAGGAAGAGTCCATCATGGCAGGAAAGCATGGTGGCAGGAACAGAAAGCTGAGAGCTTCCATCTTCAACCATAAACATAGGGAGAGAGGAGAGAACTGTGAGTTAGACTATGAGCTCTCAGAGCCCACCCCAGTGACAGACCTCCTCCAGCATGGCTCTACTTCCTAAAGGCTCCATGACCTCCCTGAACAGCACCACCAACTGGGACCAAGTGTGCAAATATTTGAGCCAAGGGGGACATTCTCATTCAAACCACCACAATGTCCAAGTTAAAGCATGTGATGACTGGAGAGTTTGGAGAAGGAGAGTTTGGAGAGTTCTTGACATCATTTCAAAGAACAAGCATTTGGGTATGGATGAGGTAACAGAGCATGAAAGGGTGGACAGTGTGGAGAATTCTGGATCTAAAAAGAACTGGATCAGACTGAGGCTCCAGGCTTCTGTAGGGAGCAGCCCAAGAAAAGGAAGGAGTCCTCAGAAAGGAGTAAGTCCTGGAATAAGTTGTTTAGGATGCCTTTGCAGGCTTGAAGCTGTTTGGGTGGGACTCAGGAGCTGTAGGCACTTAGGAGGATGATCTAGAAAGTGCAGCATGGTTTCTAAGTGGGCACATCTGGCTCCATAGCCTTCTTTCCCATAGGGGAAGGGACAGAGCCAGAGCAGAGCCACTCTGTTATGTCTTGGCCTTCTTTGGTAGTAGAAAGGAGCAGATGGCAGAGAGCTGGGTGTCATCTTGCTGTGGGCCGACAGTGTGACCGTGCTCTTACACATTTGCACATGTGTTTCTAATTTCTATATATCTGATTATTATTAGTCACAGTCAGTTACTCTTTGAGATCCTTAGCACCTGAGCATGGACATAAAGATCTTTGACTTGGGGGCCATCAACTTCACTGTCCCTGAACGTAGCCTAGGCTAGCCTCAAACTCATGTTCCTCCTGCCTCTGCCTCCTGAGTGTTTGAACGGGCTTGTTAGCACCAGGCCTGGTACTTCTGTGGATACCAGTGGTACGCAGATAGGTGCATTGGTTGGAATGGAGGACCAGAGCTTGCCTACTGAGGATAAAAGGAGCCAGGGAGAAGTAGTGTGCTGGTGCAGCTGCGGCAGGCCATGTGGCTTGTTCTCCACCATCAAGAGCAGTGCTGAGGCTGGAGCTTGCTCTATGCCCAAGGCTACTAAACTCCAGAGCTTCATGGCAGTGGCAACCCTCCTTCTGCCTCAATGTCTCCTGATCATTTCTTTCTTGTCTTTGAAAAGTCACTGGCGAGCTGGATGTGGTAGCTTATGACTGTAATCTCAGCATTTGGGTGGCAGAGGCAACTGATGCAAGTTCCAGGCCAACCTGGCCTAATAGCAAATCTAGGCCAGCCAAGGCTACATAGCAAGACCATCTCCAAAAAGAAAAACCATTGTATTTTCATGTCCTTGCTTTTCTTGTTTTGTTTTGCGTGTGGTGCTAGAAATGGAACCCAGGGCTTTATGTGTATGTCACCAAATAACTAATAGCCTGACTCCTGTTAAAGAGAAGCTGGCTGTCAGTTCATTTGTTGGTCAATCAAGGATACTAGACTCAAGATTACTTCTGTCTGTCCAGACATTGTATACAAATTCCTAGGAGTCATTTGAAAAAAAGTAAAGATAAAGATCCTTGTGATTCATTAGCTGGGTGTAGTGGCACATGCCTTTAATCCCAGCACTCGGGAGACTAGTCCGTATACCAAGACCCTGTCTCAAAAAGACAAAACAAAAAAATCTTTTGGATGGTAATAAAATTGCTCCTTTTGTTTTGTTCACAGAGATGCTGCAGTTTGTCAGCAATCAAGTGGGAGAGTTCCCAGATTTGTTTTCAGAGCAGCTCTGCAGTTCCTTCCCTGGAGGCGGTGGCAGTGGCAGCAATGGCGGCGGAGGCGCCAGCAGCAGTGGTAGAAGCAGCAGTGGTGGAGCTGCAGACACCTCGGTTCAGCGGCCATTCAGCCAGGTCCCGTTACCTACCTTCTCTCCTTCAGCTGCCTCCCCTCAGGCTCCAGCCCTTCAGGTCAAGGTCTCGCCCTCCACTGTACCCACCCCGCCCCGTGCAACGCCTATTCTCCAGCCCCGACCCCAGCCCCAGCCTCCAGCTCAGCTGCAGCAGCAGACGGTAATGATCACCCCAACATTCAGTACTGCTCCACAGACGAGGATCATCCAGCAGCCTTTGATATACCAGAATGCAGCTACCAGCTTTCAAGGTGATTCAGAAATCAGATGTGGAGCAGTTGATTGGTTCCAAGCTTATGTGCAGTGTGCATATGCTGCAGGTGTATCTTTTCTGAGGATGAGAGAATGTGTCAGTATGGTCCTGCTGGACAAGTTTCTGGCCACTGGCCATATGAACCAGAGCAGAAACAGTTCTGCTTCCTCAGAGATCTTAATATTCGTTAAGCCTGCCTCCGTGGCTTCAGAGTCTCTCAGACCTGGGAGACACAAGGCTGTCCTGATAATTAGAGGAGAGTTTTGATATTTGCCTGGTTAGCTGCCAGATCTGGGTACCTGCAGATGAGACCATTCCTTCAACAAAGAACTGCGCATGCACTGTGTACACAAATACAGTGTTTAAAATAGATTCTGGGGCCAGGCGTGGTGGTACACGCCTTTAATCCCAGCACTTGGGAGGCAGAGGCAGGCATATCTCTGTGAGTTTGAGGCCAGCCTGGTCTACATAGTGAGTTCCAGGTCAGCTGGGGCTACAGGGAGACCCTGTCTCAAAAAGACCAAAAAAAAAAAGAAAAAGAAAAAATAGGTGTTATATCTCTGAATAACAGCCTCCTGGCGGAGTGTGGCCAAAGTGCTGTTTCTTCCTGTGGTGCCACAGCCAGTGACTGTGGCCCTGAGGGTGAGCACTGCTGTCCACTTGAAGATATCCCGAGTTTTCAGTGGGTTTGAGAATTTGGAGGAGGTGGTGTAAGGCAAGAAGCTGAGACCAAAATCCCAAAGCAACTTTCTATCTAGGAAGGACAAGAGGAAATGAAGCTCCAGGGAGTTGTTGATGCTCAGCATCTACTCGCTCCGTTGCTGGGTGCATCATTTGCCGATTCGCTTCCTTCGCTCCAGCACCCAGAATAATAAAACTACTTGTACTCGTTCTGTCAGAAATTGATGTAGCCCTTATGGGATTGTGAATGGCTGTCTTATCTTCCTAGACAGCAGGTGGGGAGTGAAGTCATTATGAGACACTCCATCCTTGGTTATTGCTGCAGCTGTAGTGACAGCATGCTCTCCTTATCCATCTAACTTTTTTCTCTTCTTCCTCAAAGTCCTTCAGCCTCAAGTCCAAAGCCTGGTGACATCTTCGCAGGTACAGCCAGTCACCATCCAGCAGCAGGTGCAGACAGTACAGGCGCAGCGTGTGTTGACACAAACAGCTAACGGCACATTGCAGACCCTTGCCCCAGCCACAGTGCAGACAGTTGCTGCGCCCCAGGTGCAGCAGGTCCCGGTAGGTGGCTTGGAAAGGATTCAAGGAGGAACCAGTGGAAACTCTCAGCTGGTCCTTAGTTGAAACTGTGATCTGCATGCTAAGAAAGGCTAGCAGGAATGTACAGAGAGCAGCTGGGCCTTGGGTACCAGGATGCTCTTGTGAGCAGCATACAGAGGTCCAGCCGAGCCTCATATGTGATGCACACTGGCATCCTTGGAAAAGGCTGGTGTAGTGCCCATCGACACATACAACTGGAAAGAGGGCCAGCGAAATGACTTGATAGGCAAGGGTGCTTGCTGCCACACCTAATGACCTGAGTGCAGTTCCAGGATGCACGTGGTAGAAGAGAGAACCAACTCCCTTCTCTGTGCTATGACATGCATGAACCCTCCCCCCTAAAATAAAGTATAAAACAGGACAGAAACACACTGAATTGATATTTATCTGCTGTTTTCCCTATTTTGTAGGGAATACTAAGTGTGTATTTTGGGTAAGATAAGTGTGCGTTATTTTTGTAATGAAAAAAACATGTTTTGGGGGGTGCTAAGGAGATGGCTCAGTGGCTAAGAGTGCTTACTGTATAAACAGGAGGACTTCAGTTTGAATCCTAGGACTCAGGTAAAAAGCCAGTCATGGCTATGCCTATAACCTCAGCATTGGGGGTGTGGGGTGCAGAGCAGGTGGATCCCAAGAGCTTGATGGCCTGGCAGCCTGGAGAGGGTGAGAGCCAAAGCTTCCAGTTCAGTAAGAGACTGTGTTTTATGGCAGTGAGGCAAAGAGCAGATACTTAGGGACTTGTGTATGCACCTGCATGCCCCGTACAACAAACACATTCAAAAACGTGGTTTATGTGATATAACATATGGACTCTATTTTCTTACTAACAAATTAATCTTTTTATTACATTTTTATTTTGCGTGCGTGTGTATGTATGTATGTATGTATGTGGGTGCACATGTGCCAGAGTGCATGTGGAAGACACCTTGGAGGAGTAGGTTCTCTCCTTCTTCCGTGTGAGTCCTGGAGATCAAACTCAGGTCATCTGGCTTGGTGACAACACATTTTCCTACTGAGCCATTTGCTAGCCCCAAATTAATTTATCTTAAGAAGCAAAGCCTAGGTTTATTTCTGCTTCTCAGCCTATCTCCTGGCTCTCTTGAGTCCGTCCAAAGTCAGACCTCACTCGCCCTCCGCTGTGACCTACCCTTGCTGTAGTCCTGCCAGATGGCTGACGTTGCCAGCTCAAAGCCTCAGAGCCTCAAGACTCTTTCGCTGTTCCTTCTCTCCCTACGACCCGATTTCAAGCTCACTGTGAAGTATCTGTGCAACAAGAAACAAATGAAAAACTATGAACAATAACATCACTTTTTTTCCTCCTCCTTTTAGGTCCTCGTCCAACCTCAGATCATTAAGACAGATTCCCTTGTTTTGACCACTCTGAAAACAGATGGCAGCCCTGTCATGGCTGCAGTCCAGAACCCAGCCCTCACTGCTCTCACCACCCCCATCCAGACAGCGGCCCTTCAAGTACCAGTAAGAATTGTATTCTCTCCTGTCCTTCTCTTCCCACAGCTCTTCAAAGTATTTTATAGAATTTGTTGGTCAAGTTATAAATGTCACTCCACATTCCACTCTTAGCTTTGATTTCCCTTGAAGAAATATTGTCAGCGTGTGCTATAGGAAGTCTTGGGATTTGCAAGGGGATGGGAATGAGCCCAGAGGAACCCTGTTGCTGAGCAACAGCTCCACAAAGAACCATCATCTTATCAGCTGATGAAGAGGTTTGGCTTCTGGTGGAAGTTTAGCTTCTAAAGGATCCTAGGGCCATCAGACAGGGAGAGGTACCAGGATGAAAGATGTAAAAAGCACCCATTGGGGCTGGAGAGATGGCTCAGCGGTTAAGAACACTGAGTGTTCTTGTAGAAGACCCAGGTTCAAATCCCAGAACCCACATGGCAGCTCACAACCAGCCATAACTCCAGTCCCATGGGATCTGACAGCCTCTTCTGACCTCCATGGGCACTGCACGACACGGGTGCACTTACCTACATGTGGGCAATACACACATACACATAAAATAAAATTAAAAAAAAAAGCATCCATCCTTAAATTGTGGGATCTCAGCTACTTTGAGCATTCTGAAACAAGACAATCTGATTGAGTAAAAGATGATTAAAATTTTGGAAGCACTAGCTTTACTCATAAAAGCCAGAAACTGAGGCTGGGGTTGTAGCCAGTTGATAGTGTATTTACCTAGCATACATGCAGCCCTGGGTTTGAGCCCTAGCACCACACAGACGGGTTGGACACCCAGGCCTGTAATCATACCACTGGAGAGGTGGAAGCAAGAGGATCAGAAGTTCAAGGTCACACCCTCAGCTATACAGTGAGCTTATAACCTACCAGCAGAAGAATAAACAATTTACAATATACTCACCAAGTAAAAGTGTGTCCTGCTTTTATTTATTAGAAAAAGAACTTTTGATACATGAATCAATGTGGGTAAACCTGAATGAATGCAGAGGAAAAGAAGCTGTTACTATCACAGAAGACTCACTAATAGGATTCCAGATACAGAACTTGGCTGTGGTGATAGATCAGTGATTGTGGGGACAGTGGATCTAGTGAGCTGTATGTTGCATTCATTTGTAAAACTTCATCAAAGTCTAAACTTCAGATTTGTAGTATTATGTGTCCCTGACTGGCGTGGAACTCGCTATGTAGACCCGGCTGGCCTCAAACTCACAGATCCACCTGCTTCTGCTTCCCAAATGCTGGGATGAAAGGTGTGTACTACCACATGTGGCCCATAGTTTTTTGGGTTTTGGGGTGGTTTTTTTCTATGTGATGGGGTTTGTAGGTGTGTGCCAGCATGCCTGACTGAACTATTTCTTGATTGTTTAATGAAGTAGAGCAGCTTTTTGATTGTTTGTTGGCCATTTGGAAACTGAAGCCATTTATTGAAGAAAATAATAACTAAAATGAGTAATCATAGAAACAGGAGGAAGCAGAAAGGAGGACTAAAAGAAGACAAGTGTGCAAGGCTGACCTGTTTCCTCTATGAGATGGCTTAGAATAGAAATGTTGCTTTCACTCTTTGCTCTTTGGTGACCACACTATAGAGAGAAATGTAGTAATTTACTTGGCATTTGAGAGGGAAAAAATATGTCCTATATCCAGAGGGAGTTTTCTCTGTGCCACCTGGTGTAGTTCTTAGTGTGTATCTAGAAGTGGCTAGCAGCTCGACAGCAGAATCATCCAGCTCTGTCCAAGCAGCTAAGGTGTCATGGCTCTTAAGGTCTCTTGGGATATGACTTCATTAGTCCAGAGGGGCTCAGACCACATGAAGCGTTACTGGATGATACCATATATCCAGGAACAAACCACTTTGTGTTGTGAGTTTGCTTAATTTAAACTAAAAAGATAATTCTGCCCTTGTTGTAGACTCTAGTGGGCAGCAGTGGGACCATTCTGACCACAATGCCTGTAATGATGGGACAAGAGAAAGTTCCTATTAAGCAAGTACCCGGCGGTGTCAAGCAGCTGGAGCCCCCCAAAGAAGGAGAAAGGCGGACAACACACAACATCATTGAAAAGCGATACCGGTCCTCTATCAATGACAAAATCATTGAGTTGAAGGACTTGGTCATGGGCACAGATGCCAAGGTGAGTGCCAAGAAAAAATGTTGTGCCCCACGATCTCCCTTTGCCTTTGTCTTGGAAGTCAGGCAAGTCTCGGGCTTAAGTTGAGTGAACACAAGGGTGAGTTAGAAGTGCAGTTTTATTGAAGTATCTTGGTGTTTGATAGGATTATAAAACATTGGCCAGGCAGGTAGCACATGCCTGCATATCATCCCAGCACTCAGGAAACAAGGCAAGAGGAATCTAAGTTTTAGACCAGTTTGGGCTACATAGTTCCTCAAATAAATAAATAACTAAATAAAATTATATATAAATTACTATCTAACACAAATGAACTGTTGAGAGTTGGTAAGGCAGTGACCTGGGATCTGACTCCTTTAGCTGTGCTCTGCTATGACTGTGGACTCCAGTGTCAGAGGTAGGGGTGGGTACTACCTCCTACTCAGTGGCCAGGTACAGGACTGTGTGTCCTACCTTGGAGGCAGCCGAGGACATTTTTTTTTTTTTTTGTTCTTGTTGTTCTTTTTGAGACAGTCTCCCTGTAACCCCAGGTGGCCTGGAACTCACTATGTAGACCAGGCTGGCCTTGAACTCACAGAGATCCGCCTGCATCTGCTGCCCGAGTGCTGGGACTAAAGGTGTGCGCCACCATGCGCAGCTGCCCGAGGATATTCTTGATGTATTTTTAGTAATGTTCTCTTTTAGGGAAAAAGGAAAAGTGGAAATAGAGTCTTTGAGAACAAAACAGGAAATTAAATTTTCATATGTTTTGTTTTTTTCAATGAATGTGTCTCCTGGGAAATGGGAAGGGGATTTTGGTTTTTTTTGTTTGTTTATTTGTTTGCTTTGTCTTTTTTTTTTAACTTTTATTATTTTTATATTATGTGTATTTGTGTATTGCCTGCACAGAACAGAAAAGGTTGTTGGATCCCCTGGAACTGAAGTTACGGACAGTTGTTAGCTGCCATGTGGGTGCTGGGATTTGAACCTGGGTCTTCTGCAAGAACAACCAGTGTTCTTAATCTCTGAGCCATCTCTCCAGTCCCCTGGGGAGGGGGTAAGCTATTATGTTTACCTTCACCCCTATTTTAAGTTTCGTTATTTTCCTCTATATCTTTTTTTTTTTAATTTAT